TCTCCTAAGAGATTATTAAAAATAACATAAAAATTACTTCTAAGGGTATTTGAAATTCTTCATTTACATGACACCAGTTTCTAATTTAAACATAATTGGAGAGAATAAATTACATAGAAAAGAGGTAAAAGCACACACACCGTAGGTTTCTATAGCTGTCTCTCTGGATGTCACAGTCGATAGACTCCAATAGGGAGGTTTGCATTTGGCCAACCGCTCTTGATGACAAAATTATACTTTACATAACCTAGCAACATCTACTCAAGAGAAAATGCAACAACTGAATAAATAAAAGCAAAGTAAACTGGAAAAGTCATCTAATAAAACTCTGTAATTGATTGGACAAAATTCAATCAACTTATCAACACAGCTCTAGTTGGGCTTCAGCCAAATCATCCTGAACTCTATACTCTTTCAGTTCTAAAGCTCATCATGGTACAAGATGCGGAAACTCCAATTATGCTGATTCTAAATTAATGATGCCTTATTTCTTCCTTATGTTCTATCAGGGGTTTTTGTTGTTGTTGTTGTTGTTGTTGTTATGGTTTAGTTTTTGTACTGTGGATTGAACTTAGTGGCACTCAGCCACTGAGCCCCATCCTCAGCCCTATTTTATATTTTATGTAGAGACAGGGTCTCACTGAGTTGCTCAGAACCTTGCCATTGCTGAGGCTGGCTTTGAAATTCCCATTCTCCTGTCTCAGCCTCCAGAGTCAAATGTCTTATCTTAATCCCCCCTATTATGTTAGTTAACTAACTATCTATTTCAGCTTTGGATAGCCATGCTATTTCATTCAGACAATGTGACTGAATAAAACTGACTCTGGGCAATTAATAGTGTGAAAGTGCAGCAAAGGAGGGCCACACATACTAAAATTTTGTTTTCCAATGAAATGTGTTAAAATAAGATGAAGGAGCTATTTAAGGAATAGACTACTTCTTAAGTGCAATAATTCTTTGACTATTACCTTTTGTTGAATCATCCTCTATCGGCTGCTTGAACAACGTAATATCCTTGAACGTGCACAGGAACAGGACTACCTTCTCATGTTCATTTCTTATTGGTGCAATTTGCATGTAAAACCAAACAGGGGTCCCTGTAACAGAGAGAGACAGAAGGGACAATAATGTGACCCAGCCATACCAATGCTCTTCTGCCTTCCCTCTTCCTTCAGCTTCCAATTGCTCTGCCAGGAATTAGCACCAAAACAACAATACGTTCAATGCTACGAAGAATCCCAAAACCTTTATTTTTATGACAACTACCAGTCGTTCAAATTAAATAAACATTTTTCAACCCAAGATATCAAAATTCTAAAGTACAGAATAGAGTCTCACTTTGCAAAGCAAGCACATGAAGGCAGTCTCACTACCTAGGTAAGGCCAGCGTCACCTTTGGGTCTAGGTCCCTAAAGTACTGCTTGTTCTCTTTTTGATAGTCTCACCAAGTGTGATCACTCCTACAGGCTTCTCTCCTCTTGTCATTTTGACAAGTGTTTCCAATTAACGGCAACAGCAATACCTGATGCTCTGATAAGTATTCCTCCCGGAGGAACATCTGAAATGCTGCTTCTATCATCAGTCAGATAAAGTTATATTACACCTTCACTATTTTGATCGCATCCCCATATTAGAGAGAGGTCATCAACAACACTTCATGCCTGATGTACTGGGCTCTACCTGAAGCCTTTAAGGCAATCTTAAAGGAATAAAAGACATGTTCCTAACCTTTGAAAATCTAAGGGGTGTTCATCAACCTCTGCTTCTTACCCACCTCACTCAATGCATGAGGCCATACACTGTCACCCTTTTCTTCAAAGAATGGCTACAGTAGACCCAGGGAGAGGTTTTCAGAGCATCAAAGCCTAGGATTTGAAGAAACCAGGACCTGGTATATAGCAGATAATAAACCTATGCATAAGAAATGCCTTTAAAGAATAATTATCCACTAAGTGATAAAACACTGAAGGAATGCTCTATCAGAATCAAAGACACATTTTTCATCATATTTTCACCAAATCATAGTGCAATAAGGCCCTTCCAAATAGTCTCTCTTAAAGACACAAAGATTTTTGAACAGTTTAGGAACTATGCAGGTACTAACAGTCTGTAGGTGAGAGTAGATAGCCTTAGCAACTCCAAGTGAAAACCAATTAGGAAGCACCTTCATACTCATGTCCAAAAAAGTCACCCAATGCCACTGTAGAGGACAACTTGCTATTTAGACAAGATGAAGTAACTCAACTACCAAAAGAAGTCAGAGAATTAGAGAGAGTAGATTTCCATGGGAATATTCAGTTCTGGCAACCATGTCTTTTGTAACCCCAGCAGGGCTATGGAAGGACATGGCCCTTTCCAAAATAATTGCAGGATGAGACAGGGACCTTGAAAACAATCACATCATCTCCCACAGAGGCTTGTTCTTTGTCTTCTGTTTCTTATTTTACCCAGCGTGTCCAGAAACTGTGAGTGATGTGAACAGTTTTACAAATAACCAGACTCAGACATCGGTGTGTACATGGCCTATGGCTGTTCCAACACAATGAGCTTGAGGCAGAGGGTCATAAACAAAGAGAAAAGGGCATAAAAATAAGTCGTTTTCCTAGGTCTGTTAGAAATCTGGACAGAAAGAGATGGTGTAACATTTCATGCCTTCCTATGAAAACAGCAACTTTTCAAATTCTAGCGGACAGGGCTGTCTTAAAAGCAGTTTTCAGATATCAAGATAGTTTTCTTTTTTTCAACTTTGCTAGCCAGTCTTCCCCAAGTAGGCTGAATGTCTGCCAAGTGGCTGGTGAAATATCTTTTATATTCTAGATTTGAGGTTTCTGGGTGGAGGGCCACTGAACACTCAGGGCAGGGCTTTGGTAGTGGTTACTCGGCCTAATCCTGACCCTCATAGTTCTGCCTGTGTGTACACAGAGGGGCTATTTGAAATCATTACCCCAGAGCTACTATTTCTTTCCCCATAGTAGCAACAGCTAATCAGAGCACTGGACCTACAGAACAAAGACCACAAACTGAAATGTCAATCCTGAGATATATTAAATCAGATACCTCTATTTCCCCCATTTGCAAAATGGTGTTTAACCTAATTACATAATGGAAGTGTTGGGAGGACTTGGCATTCTGGCATTCCCAAAACAGTTTCGAGACATGAGAATTTCCCTATTTAACATTTTTAGAAGTCACAAGAATATACTTTTTGCAGTCATGGTCAAAAGCTTTCAGCTGACCTTTTACAAGGTTTTTTT